CCAGGGTCAGGGGAGGGGAGAGGAAAGGGTCCAGCAGCAGGGCTAGGGGTGTGGGAGAGAGAGGGTCCAGCAGCAGGGGTGGGTGGGGGAGAGAGAGGGTCCAGCAGCAGGGGTGGGTGGGGGGAGGGTCCAGCAGCAGGGGCGGGTGGGGAGGAAAGGGAGGGTCTAGCAGCAGGGTTCGGGCAGGGTTAGCGAGGAGGGTTGATTAAAAACAATGTGCAAAAAATGCCAGAATGAAACCAAATAAAAATAGATGCTCCTTTTTCTTTACTTTCAGTGTAAAAATCCACGATTTAACAGAATTAAGAGACATGTATGCTATAATTAATCTGGATGACGAAAATAAAGGTATTGGTCTTGGCAAAGCTGACTTGTATTTTGTCATTGTAGTTATGGAGAATAACGATTGTTGCATTCTTATAGGCAGAATTAAATTAACACCTTTCCGCGAAGCTCCCTAAAATAGGTTCTTTACTTTAGGAACTGTGATAAGCCGTACTACTTGACTAAGAGGTTGTGAATATGCCTGGGTACCAGAGGCTTATAGCAAACTTTAATCCTAATTGTACAATGGATGTTTTGTTTAAGCCATAGTAAATGACTCAGTGCCCATATTCTCCTATTAATGTGAATATGGGAAGTAAATAGTGAAATAGTAAGATGATTTAGGAAAGAACACATCTAAAGTGTTTATGCCTATCGCATGAAACTATTTATTTGATTGCATGCCACCGTGTCTTGCGGATTTGGACAACGGTTTGTTTTGTGCATTGTTTCAGGGTTGGATACCCTATCCTGGACTGATGATGGCCAGCTGCTAGCACTGTCTACCCAAAGAGGCTCTCTCCACGTCTTCCTGACCAAGCTGCCCATCCTTGGGGACGCTTGTCACACAAGGATTGCCTATCTCACCTCCCTCCTTGAGGTCACTGTGGCCAACCTCATTGAAGGAGTATGTAAATCACGGTCTGTCCTTCGTTTATGAATTAAAACAGTTTTGGCAGTTGGTTCACTACTGCTACAATCCTGTGTTGTAGGAGCCACCAATCGCAGTTTCCGTTGATGTGGAGCCCAACTTTGTCGCTGTGGGTCTCTATCATCTGGCTGTGGGGATGAACAATCGAGCTTGGTTCTATGTCCTTGGTGAAAACGGCAAGTCTAAATCCAAGTGTTGTATTCTCGTATACCATTCTACTTCTGTACTATGTAGAAAGCACTAGAAGTGATTTTTGAGACTTGAGTCTTTTATTTTCATTTTCATCCTGACATCTCTTTCTTAACTTAGATGGCTCTGTTTCCACTCTAAATCCTTTGCATAGTGTCTAGACAGATTGCATTCTTTGCTAGACCCTAGGTTGAATGTCCCTTTCTGCTAAAGGATTGTAGCTACTCTGTGAGCTTGACTTAATCTAGAAGATAAAGCTGCTTTAAAGGGATCGTGAAGCTGATGAGACAAAAATTAAGCATTTGTGATCTCATTCTGCACAATGGCTCTGTTGAAGCACACCTTGGCCTGGAAGGTGCTTAACCAGGGTGTCCATTTCTTCCCATTTTGTTCTTTGAATACTGCTATTTCCATATAAAGGGAACTTGATCATTCATTGTCCCTTCTATCTATTCTTTCCCCAGTTCAAAGTCCGATAAAAAGCCCTGAGAAGTGACCCATTAAGTAGAAAACTCCATTCTTGTTACTTAAGGCACGGTTTCTTCTGCTTGTGATTTTATCTGCCGATGTTTTGTTTCTTATGGACCACAAGGGACTCCCAGAGGGTAACTTCCGTGGCAACTAAGAACTTCTTTAGAGTGGATGAAACAGGTTTTTGTTCAGAAGACCCTTGCCAAAGTATACATTGAACAATCATTTGCAAGTAAGTAGATGCAGTACTTGTACCTATAATTTAATGTGTTTAAATGTTTTTGAAATTGATACAGCTGTAAAAAAGTTAAAAGATGTGGAATATCTGGGAACGGTAGCCAGCATTTGCCTTCATTCTGACTATGCAGCCGCACTCTTTGAAGGAAAAATCCAGTTACATTTGGTAAGTATAATCCTCCTTTCCCGGAAGCCTAAGTTTGATGTCCCATTATCAAACACCGTGGCTGGGAAGCAAGAATGTAGAGACTAACTAGAAAACCCAGTATAGGAGTGTAGGTAAAGACTGAACAAAGTCCTTACCTGGCTGTGTGTGATGTTCACTTGACTTCTGAGCCCTGGAAGCCTCATGAGCGCCAACAGTGCTGCTCACATTAACTGTCGTGAGATGATCCCGTTGGGAATCTGCATCTAGAAGGAACTGCAGTCCGAGCTGTGAGCAGCTGAAGAGCATGCGCTCACTTCTGTGCTTGTTGCATGCGGGAATCCACCTAACTGTGACTGTTGTTGTTCATTCCAGAGAGACTGGCCCCTGTGGGGGCAGGAGTCTAGACCAGGGCATAGCACACATCTGTTTCCAGATTTCTGTATTCGGGAAGCCAATGAAACTAGCTGCTGAACCTGCTCCACATAAGCTTCCCACTAAAAAAGGATGCTCGGGCTGCCCTTTGGGCCAGCAGTCATGTTTTGTGCCTAAGCTGGAGTAGTTTGAGCGTCTAATTTGTAGTTAAACTTGGGAAAAGACACTTTTCCCTAGCTAAACACCTTATTTACTCAGATAAATCAAGGAACCACTAAATAAGCAGTTCTCAACCTGTGGGTTACGACCCCTTTGGGGGGGTCACATATCAGATATTTATATTACGATTCATAACAGTAGTAAAATTACAATTTTGAAGTAGCAATAAAGTAATTTTATGGTTGGAGGTCACCACAATAGGAGGAACTGTATTAAAGGGCTGCAGTGTTAGGAACATTAGGAACCTTATTTAGGAACCATGGCCCTAAATAAAACTTCCTCATATTTTAGATAGAAAATGAAATCTTGGATGCTCAAGAAGAACGTGAGACTCGGCTCTTCCCAGCAGTGGATGATAAGTGCCGGATCTTATGCCACGCCCTAACTAGTGATTTCCTCATCTATGGAACAGATGTACGTATGAGCTTCTGGAGGACAGATTCAATACAAATAAAGACGTCTGTGATCAGTTATACACTTATGTAGAACCTAGGTGGCTTAATTGGCTAGTATCAGTGCTTGGTGATTTTAAGTAGTTTTGATTACTGTACTGGCTAGTTTTGTGTATCAACTTAACCCAAGCTAGAGTCATCAGAGGGGGAGAAGCCTCAACTGAGGAAATATCTCTATGAGATCCAGCTGTAAGGCGTTTTCTCAGTTAGTGATCAATGGGGCAGAGCCCAGCCCATGGTGGATAGTGCCATTCCTGGACTTGTCCTGGGTTCTATAAGAAATCAGGCTGAACAAGCCAGGGGAAGCAACTCAGTAAGCATCACCCCTCCATGGCCTCTGCATTAGCTCCTGCCTCCAGATTCCTACCCTGCTCGCTTTCCTGTTCTGACTTCCTCCAATAAAGAAGTATCATCTGGAAGTGTAAGCCAAATAAACCTTTTCCTCCCCAACTTGCTTTTTATTCATGGTGTTTTGTTGCAGCAACAGAAACCCTAAGATAACTGCATAATGCAGAGGGTAGACTCTGCAGTCTGACATTTAGGGCTCAGATGTCACTTCTATGACCTGCTAGCTGTGGACAGCTCTTCCAGCCCCACCTCCCCTCATGGGTGCTAATGTAATCTCCTTTTTTACATATTGTTACATTCATTTGCTATAAACCTTGGTCTAAATTTGATCTCTTGGGTGTTTGTTTGTATAATTAACCCTGTGTTTTATCTGCATGTTATATCTGTGTGCCACATATGTGCTTGGTGCCCTCTGACACCAGAAAAAGCTGTCAGATCCCCTGGACCTAGAGTTACATGTAATTGTGAGCCAAGGCTGGCTCTGGGAATTTGACTCAGCTCCGTTGTGCTACAGTTTTAGTTTTGGGGGGGTTGGTTTTGTTTTGTGAGGTGGGATCTCACTGTGTAGCCCTTGCTGGCCTGGAACATTCTACATAAAGTAAGATGGTCTTGAACCACAGAAATCCACCTGCCTTTGCCAGTGCTGGCATCAAAGGCGTGACCTACTGGCTTGTTTATATGGTGCCTTTACCTAGTCTCGGTATCAGGGCAATACTGACCTCAGAAAAAGAGTTAGTCATCTTCAACTTTCTGGAGGCATTTATTAGAATTGAGTAAATACTTTTCCCTTCCATGTTTTGTAGATTTCACAAGGGAAGGCTGGCAGGCTGCTCAGTACTTCCTGGGCAGTTGATTTGGCTTGACTGTACTTCTTCCATACACAAGAAGGGAGACAGCAAGCGCCAGGGGTGTACACAGCAAAGCCAGACTGGCATGCAGGCATCCGTAGTCTACAGGGCTACACTAGACGGAAGGAGCCAGCACCACAGCCAGGCAGTTCAGACTCAGAGATAAACCCTGAGGAAATTGGATGACTCCATGCATCCCTGGAAGCAGGCAAGGATCTGCTTTCTGGAAGTTTCTCCAAGATAGTTGTGTGAGGGGTGACCTGGACAGCCTTTCACAAGACTGCCAGCCTGCCATGTAGTTTGTGTCTCTGACTGCCCAGTCTGCCTGTAGTTGGTGGTATAACTGGAGTTTGCTGGTTTACTTTTGAAAGTTTCTCTAGCAAGTAGGAAATCTATAAATCGATGTGACCACATATCACTAAACATATTACAGTCGCTAGATTATTGAATTACTTCTGAATTCCCATTTCCTTTCTCCAGAGTCTGTGATTTCCGTATATATTAAGTGCATTAGCTCTTCCTTTATCAAAAGTAATCATGTTTCTCTTTTTAAATTATCTAAATTAAATGTGAAAAGTCAGTATTTCCTTAACCACATCTTAAATCCCCTGACCGAACTTCTTTTTTCTTTCTCTTCTCCAGACTGGCATTATTCAGTATTTCTTCATTGAGGACTGGCAGTTTGTCAATGACTATCGACATCCTGTTGGTGTGAAAAAGCTTTTTCCTGATCCAAATGGAACCAGATTAGTTTTCATTGATGAGAAAAGTGATGGATTTGTTTACTGTCCTGTAAGTCTAGAAAATTTGAAACTGTGAGCTGAGGCTTAACTCAGTGACGGCAAAATGCTTGTCTAGCAATCTTTCCTATGACCTGGGCTCAATTGCCAGTGCTGGGGAAACAAGACAAAACTTAAAACGCTCAAGTTTTAATGCAATAAAGTAGAAAAGGGTTTTTTTGTTTTGTTTGTTTGTTTCTGAGACAGGATCTCTCCATTATATAGCTCTGACTGTCTTGGAACTTGCTATATAGACCACTCTGGACTAAACTCACAGTGATCACCTGCCTGTCTCGGGGCTGGGATTAAAGGTGTGTGCCACCACACCTGCTAAAAAAGTTTCTTTTAATAAAGTATTTATCAAATAAAGTTTTCCCTTCCACAGAGTCAGGTCTTATAGTCCTTTGCTGTCATCTGTGTCCTATTGTGTCAGTGAGCAATGTCAGGAAAACTTCCCTGTTGTTCTGTAATTTTTATATCAGTCTCACAGAGATTGTCATTGTCGTTGAGAATGGATGTTATTGTACTATGTAGCCCAGGCTAGCCTCAGCCACTCAAGTCTTGACTCAGAAACAATGCACCAGAAAAGTTGCTCCATACATCTTCAGCAGCATCAACTTTTAGTAACTTAGAGCCAATTGTGTCTAAACTTATAGTTTTTCCATAACCTAGTCCAATTATCAAGCCCTGGATTTTCCCAGGAACTGTTGTTTTGTTTGTTTGATTGGTTGGTTGGTTAGGTTTTCAGGGTTTTTTTTCCAAGCCTGATATAGTACAGTAATCGGAAGGGTCTCTCTCCTACTGTGGAAAGCTGGGGTCAGAGTGGTGTTGAGTTAGAGGTGGGCTGGTAAGCCATGCCTGCTGGGGCTGCAGATAGACTCTTAACAGGGCAGATTGTAATGACAGACACGTGAGGCAAATTTGTAAATCCTGTCTTGTAGGTTAATGATGCTACCTATGAGATTCCAGACTTCTCACCAACCATTAAAGGTGTTCTTTGGGAAAATTGGCCAATGGATAAAGGTGTATTTATTGCTTATGATGATGATAAGGTGTACACGTACGTGTTTCACAAGGACACCATCCAAGGTACCGAATCATTTACTGTACTTTTTCTGATAAATGAATTTCCATTGTAGTGAAATTGAAAACTATCTAATATCTGTGCCAGCCATTGGCTTGAGGTATTAAGGGGTCTCCATTCTAATACAGGATCCAAGGTTATTTTGGCTGGTGGCACTAAACTTCCCTTCTCCCACAAACCTTTGCTGTTATACAATGGAGAACTGACCTGCCAGACACAGAGTGGGAAAATCAACTCCATCTACCTCAGCACCCACAGCTTCCTTGACAACATAAAAGATGCAGAGCCTAGTGACCTGAGACAGATGCTGATGCAGACCCTGATGCTCAAGCGGTAAGGAGGAGTGGAAATGATTGACAGCGGCTTGTTTGCCTTGGTGTCCTGCTCAAAAGATGGGAATAGAGGTTGTCTCATGGGCTGTATTGAGGCTTAGATAACAGATAAGAGGGGCTGGAGAGATAGCTTGGTTATTAAAGTGCTTGCCTTGTAAGCATGTGGACCCAGTTCAGTCCCTAGAAGCCACACTCTAAAGCAGCTGGGCATCACAGCATGAGCGCGACTGAAGTTCTGGGGCTCTCTCCCAGTCAGCCTAGTCTGCTTAGCAAATTTATAGACCTTGTCTCAAAACAACAACAAAATGGTCAATGGCATTTGAGGACCAACACCTAAGACTGTCCTCTGGCCTCTACACACTGTGCCATACACATGTGTACACCTGAGGTACACAAACATGTGCGTACACACACACAAGATGACAGTGCATATGAAAACATAAATTCTAATGGAAGTGCTATTGTCGGGTGTGATTTCTATAAATGCTTTATTATGAGAGAAGCACTCAGAGTCACAAAAGTACCATTATTGGAATGTAGTAGGAGGCTCCTTGTCCATTCTCAGCCACCCAGACCTGAAATAATCACATAGAAACTATATTAATTAAAACACTGCTTGGCCTATTAGCTTAGGCTTCTTATTAACTAACTCTTACACCTTAAATTAACCCATTTCTATTATTTTATATTTTAACATGAGGCTCATGGTTTACTGGCAAGGTCCCAGCATGTCTGTCTCCTTCGGCAGCTACATGGCATTTCCCTGACTCCACCTTCTTTTCTCCCAGCATTCAGTTCAGTTTTTCTGCCTAGCTCTATTCTTGCACCTCCTGTTTCCTCTCCCCATCTTCTGCGAGCAATTCCTCCTCTTCTTTCTTTCTCTCCCCAGAAATCGCACCTACACCCCTTGCCTAGCTTTTGACCACTGAGCTTTTTATTACATTGCAGCAAGCACATCTCCACACAGTCTACAAATACTCCACAACATGTGGAGTATTAAAACTAGAATTCGTTGTTAATTGGTGGTGGGAAGGGGCTGATAACAGTAAATTCTGACTAGTAGGAGGAGGTACGAGAGGGACTGGGAGGTGCTTAGTGGCTAAGAGTACTTGATGCCCAAGGATCTGGTACCCATGTAAAAAGCCGAGAGTGTCTGGGTTGCCTACACAGCCTCACTGCAAACCCATGAAACCCACATTCAGTCAAGGAACTAAGGCAAAAAATGATAGAGCAGGATACTCAGTGTCTTCCTCTGGTCTCGATGGCCGCACGCAACTGGACATACTTATACCCACACACATACGTAAGAAGGTAAGGAAAAGTCTATGCAAGCGAAGGAAGAAAGTTTGGTGTGCTATTTTTCCCCTATAATTCACAAGTGCTGGTTATAGGTTAAGAAATGTTAGGTTTGTCTAGCATGTCACATTTAGTGATACACAGCCCAAAGATTGCCTAGTAGGTGACAAGCAAAGGCAGAGCCATGGTTCAGTCTGTGTACTCAATCCTAGGTTTTCCGATGCTTGGGAAATATGCAAGATGCTAAATGACCGCTCAGCGTGGAATGAGCTGGCCAGAGCCTGTCTGCATCACATGGAGGTGGAGTTTGCTATCCGCGTTTCCCGGACAATAAGGGATGTTGGCACAGTGATGTCCTTGGAACAGATAAAGGTATGCAGTGTGTCGTGAGTCACGGACTAAAGTGTAGATGCTGCCCATCCGCCATTCTACATTCCAGTCAGTCTTCATTGAAACAGCTGAATGGTGGACTGCTTCCACTTCCTACTGAGCAAAGCCTTTTGAAAACTAAAATCCTTATATTTCTTCTCACTGAAACTTGTATTTGTAGGGAATCGAGGACTACAATCTTCTGGCAGGACATCTCGCCATGTTTACTAATGATTTCAACCTGGCTCAGGACCTGTACCTGGCATCCAACTGTCCTGTGGCTGCCCTGGAGGTATGACAGCAAAGGGAAGCAGGCAGCTGCCCCGCTGTGTAGGCTGCCTTCTCAGCACCAGACAGCGCCTGTCTTCCTCTCCTGAAGTGTAGCCATCCCGCTCCCAGGCCCCTGAGTACTCATTAATGTCAAAACCGCTTTCACTCTGCACTCAGTGGAGGGATGAAAAAGACGTGGTATTGTAGCATTGCCCAAGGAGAGCAGACTGTGGAACTTACAGAAACCGTAAAAGAAAAGTAGGTGCTGTTTATTGGTTGCCCGTGTTGCCAGGTGCCATGCTCTTAACCTATATTAGGTCACTTAACCTCCACAACGGTCAATCTTACGGGGTAGCGCTGTGTTAGGTCAGTTAACCTCTGCAATGGTCCATCTTTTGAGGTAGTACTGTTGTTTTCTCTAGTTTCCACATGAGGACACTGAAGCACTTGATCTTCAAGTTGCTGCTTGAAATTCCCCTCTGTGTTAGAGCTGAAGGTTGCAGGAGAAGGACTGAACCAAATGCTGGTCTGAGTTCAGAGGCAGAAGGGGATGGAAGCCCGGCAGTACAGGCAGTGGAAGGGTATAGACCAGCTGGCCTGTGGTGCCTCCCTGTAAACCCAGGAACTCAGAGGCAGAAGCAGGAGGACTCCTGTAGTTCAACGTCTGCCTGGTCCAAAGAACAAGTTCCAGGCTAGCCAGGGCTACATAGCAAGACTCTGTCTGGGAAAGGGGGGGGGGTGGCAAGGCTACATAGCAAGACTCTGTTGGGAGGGTGGGGGAGACACAGACTTGTGAAGTGAACACACCTGGATTTGATTCCAACTGTGTGTGACCTTGGGAATGTCCTTTGACCTCAACCAAGGTCTGGCTTCTTTAAAGTGTGGTTAGTTGGTAAGAAAATGGGTTTATAGTACAACTAATTAGAAGTAATTTATATAGCTAGTAGTGGCCAGAAATAAACAAGAAAACACATCTTTTCTCACAGATATTGAAACTAAACTGTATTCATCTTTTATATTATAGATATATTGTGATATACAATATAAACATAATCTTGTGTAATAGCTATGCAAGTGCCATTAGCTTTGTCAAGGCCCTGAGGTGATAGTTAGAATAGAGAGGGTTAATAACACTGCTCTGTAACAGCTCCTTCAGCCTCACTGTGAGAACAAATAAGTCAGGTGAAGAGCCCTGCATCCCACTGCTCTGTCTCATACTAGCCATGTAGCATTGCGTAAGACCTAGCCTGTCTTCACTTCAGTTTCCAGGTCTCTGAAATGGGTACAAGAATATTACAAAAGGTAGCTGTGAAAAGTAAAATAAACTGATGTTCTAGACCAGGACCTGGCAAGGAAGTAGCACTTGGGAAAGTTAGCTATGGTAAATTCTTCACAGTCTAAATTGATAAGGAATGAGCTGGACGGATTCTTCAGTGCTGACCTCGTATGTTTAGGATTGTATGCCAAATATTTTTAAGAGTGAGAATCAGGAAGAAAGATGCTTTATGTGTTGTGTTTTCTGTTATCCGTGCTGCTACACAGCTTCAGATTAGCTGAGAAACTATCAGGGCAGAAGATGGTAAAGGCACTTGCCACCAAGTCTGATGACTTGACCTTGATTCCCAGGACCCACAGATGGCAAAGAGAAAACTGACCCTTGAGAGTTGTCCTCTGACCTCCACACACACGCTTGTGCACCCATGCACATGGATATAAATAAGTGTAACTTGAAAGAGAAAGAACGTGCATCAGTGCCAGGCCAGGGGTAGTGGCTCCTGCCTGTAACCCCAGCAGCAAAGAGATTGGGAAAGTTGCCGCAAGTTCAAGGCCAGCCTGGACTGCATAGTGAGTTCCAGGACAGTCAGGAATACATAGCAAAATCCTGCTTCACCAAGGAAGGAGCGAGGGAGGGAGGGAGGGAGGGAGGGAGGGAGGGAGGGAGGGAGGGAGGGAGGGAGGGAGGGAATCAATTCCTAAAGTATTTCCTAAGTCCTTTCTAAGATGAAATTTTAAATTAATTGATTACATTAGCTTTAATTTCTTACTATTGGGAAAACTACTAAAGAATACAATGTTTATTTTTAGATAGACTTGAGTTTTTAGAGGAACACAAACTACCATTAGAACTAAGATATTTGTCCAGTCTAGAAGGCTCTATCACTGCCTTTCAAAATGTATATCACAGCACTATCTTGGTAAATAGAAAGTTTCATGATTTAAACAAAAGAAGAATGTAATCCCTTTTACTGAGCCTGACTCTATGCAGCAACTTGCAAAGCTCTTTGCCTTCCTGGACCTCAGGACTTTGTCTCTCGGGCAGATGAGGCGGGACCTGCAGCACTGGGACAGTGCCCTGCAGCTGGCGAAGCGCCTGGCTCCAGACCAGATCCCCTTCATATCCAAAGAGTACGCCATCCAGCTGGAGTTCACGTAAGCCTTGGCCCATGTCTTCTGATCAGTAACTAATGGCTGCACATCCACAGTTCCAGACGATCACTGATTAGGCCTTTCTTTTTATGGGGTGGTGGAGAGATCAAGACAGGTTTGACTAAACTCACTCTGTAGGCCAGGCTGGCCTCGAACTCAGATCCACCTGCCTCCGTCTCCTGGATTCTGAGATTAAAGGCATGTACCACCAGTGCCAAGCAAGGCCATTCCTTAATAATGGTGGAGGCAGGATTACAGAAAATGTTTTATCTGTCCAATGATGTCTCGTTTTTTTACTTGTCCATTTTCATTTTCAGTCCAAGTCTTGTGTCTATTTTCCTCATTTAGAGTTTAAATATTGTGAATGATGTTTAGCCGGCAACAGTATGCAGAGCACCAGGGTGACACTCTAGGTTTTATGATCTATGCTCAGGATTCTGGCCTCTTTTTAACATTTGGAAGACTGTCTATGCCACATAAAGGCAAAGCACAGAACTTTGAAGTGTGGTCTGTATTTCGGTCTGTTTGTGCCGCTGTCACAGACTGTCTGAGACCAGGTGATTTATCAAGACCAGAAGTTTCAGGCTAGAGAGACAGCTCAGTAGTTAAGAGCACTCCTCGAGGGACCCCAGTTCAGTTCCCAGCATGCATGTTGTTTGACTCACAACCACCTGTAACTCCAGCTACCGGGTATAGTGATGAGGCGAGCAGGCCTGCTTTTTGTCCCACCCGGCTTCCGCACAGCTAGCTTTACACCTGAAATAACAACACACAAATTGTATTCATTTAAACACTGCCGGGCCCATTAGTTCCAGCCTCTTAATGGCTAATTCTCACATCTTGATTAACCCATTTCTGATCATCTGTGTAGCACCACGAGGTGGTGGCTTACCAGGAAAGATTCTAGCCTACATCCGTCTCAGGTCGAAGAATCATGGCGTCTGCCTCACTTCCCTTCTTCCCAGCATTCTGTTCTGTCTACTCCGCCCACCTAATTTTCTGCCCTATCAAAAGGCCAAGGCAGTTTCTTTATTAACCAGTGGTATTCACAGCATACAGAGAGGAATCCCACTTCAGTCAGTTTTAAATTAATGTCCAGCTGTGATCGCTGCCCCAAAGCACATAACTATAGCTGAGTCTTTTCTTTTCAGACACTCACACAGGCACTGGTGACCCCAAAACTGGACAATTTTTCTCAACGTTTATTAAGAAACATTCTTTTTTTTAAATATTTATTTATTTATTATGTATACGATATTCTGTCTGTGTGTATGCCTGCAGGCCAGAAGAGGGCACCAGACCCCATTACAGATGGTTGTGAGCCACTGTGGTTGCTGGGAATTGAACTCAGGACCTTTGGAAGAGCAGGCAATGCTCCCAACCTCTGAGCCATCTCTCCAGCCCCATTAAGAAACATTCTAAATCCAAAAATATTAGAATATTGAAAAATGCTAGTCTGTGGTTATATTTGCTTTTTAAAAGCAACGGTTAAGACCACTTGCTGCTTTTCCAAAGGACCTGGGTTTGGTTCCGAGCACTGGTTCAGGGTTTCAGATGCCCTCTTCCAGCCTCCCCCAAAAAACTGTACACATATGTGTGACTGACACACATACACATAAAAAATAAATCATTTTCTATTCCTAGGTTAAAGCTTTTTGGATATATTTCTTGTTGGTCATTTTTAATTTAAGCTTTTGCCACATATTTACTTTTTAAAAGTAAATCTGTGAAGCTGGAGAGATGGCTCAGCAGTTAGAGTGTTTGCCAGCACCCACATCAGGCAGCTCATAACCACCTGTAACTCCAGCTCTAGGGCAGTCTGATGTCTCTGGTCCCTGTGTGCCCCTGCACGTACCCATATACCCATATACAAAATTTTAAATTGTTTTAAAAATTAAAAATATATATGCAATGAATCCAAGGGGCTAGGGTGTAATTAAGTGGCAATGTTGCTTGTTTAGCTTGTGACTTGAAAACAACAATGTCCATTCATCAGAATGAACATATTGGAAACTTAGTGCATATACAAGAGACCAGGCCCCAGTGCCATGACCTTCCACCTCCATCTAAGAGAAAAGAATGACCCAGTGTGTACCTTGTCAGCACACGCATCTCCGAGAGCCCTTGGGCCATTCAAGAGAGTGATTTTTACTTCTTTCTGTGATGTTTTTGTTGTGAACTCTCCCACTTTACCTGACTGGAGTTAGCTCTGATAGGTCAATGGGAAGCTTTGGTGGTGGCATGTGTCCGTGAAGCTTTCGATGCTATTTGTGCATGCTCGCACCCCTGACCTAACATGCCGAGCACCTAACAGTTCAGAATTGTCCCCAGTGATAACCAGGGTGTATCTTCTTACCCAGCACCCCGTAACCTGCACAGCTGATCTCAGCATCCAAGGCTCTGCCTGTGTCAGTCCTATGAGTTTCATTTGGTATCCACAACCCTGACTGTGTCAAGAAAGGACAGCTCTGTCGAGTCTAGAGAGAGTTAGCTCTCCAGTGGGGGGTTACTCCAGTAAGCTCAATTCCTGCGAGAGGTCCAGAATGAAATAATAGTAAAGTGGCTGAGCTAAAAATAAACAGAGTTCCAAAATCTTAATTTAGGGTCTCCTAATTGAGCAGGATCCTGAGCAAGGAACTGCAATTCTTCTTGTCAGGAGGTGTCCCCAGGTGGGCTGATATAATTGGACCCAAATTAGACATTCCTTCTCAGGAAATGGCTGGTTGTGAAGCCTGGGCTGATGAGAGAGATCTTCAGTCAGCAGCACAGCCTCCCTCCCCGTCGTTTCATCTGTCAGTCTTTTTAGCCAGAGGTAGATTCCGAAACTGAACAAGCCTCGCTGGGTCTTTCTCTTTAGCTGACAGGGGCGCTTGGGTGGATCTCAATGCCATTTCAGAGCTAACTGCCTGCAGTGGAGGGGTGGTTGCTCAGAGGAAGACAGCTCAAATAAAAGGTCTTTGCAAGTCACTGTTCTAGAAAATGCAAGTAATTAAGTCTGTCGGACCAGAGCCTCTCAAACTTTATCCGTTTGCAACCCCTTTGCCTGAGAAATGTTTGTGCAACAGAAACCAAACATCTGCTGTTAATTCATAAGGAAGTCTATTTTTACGTGTTTGTGGGGACTAGCAATACGGCTTAGTGGATAAAGAGCTTGCTGTGCAAACACAGGACCTGAGTTTGCATCCCCAGCACCATGTCAATAAGAAAAGAAAAAGCCAGGCAGGTGTCAGGGTCCAGCCCAGACATAAACCATTTCTCATGCCAGAGTAGAGGTGTGGGAATAATTGAGGCACAGTTCACAGGGCAATATCAGGAGGGAGTCTCAGGGTTCATTCAGATCCTGAAGATCACCTGCATTTATTATCCAAACAGCTTTTATATCAAAAGATAAACTGAGGGGGAGGTTCGTTAGCATTCTGTTCTCTAGGTAGCAGGGAGAATGACTTAGGTCACCACAACTATGCCTGCTCTGTCACCTAGACTGAAAAACACCTCTTCCCCGAGTGACCTCCTAAATTACAATAGAAGGAGCATAACATTAGCATATCCTAACCATTTGCTTTGGGTGGCGTCAGGTTGTCTCACTATCATTATCAAAGACTAAGTGACGATGTTCTGTGTGGAAGGTGAAAATTGTGCCTTACCAGGTCACTCAGAATTGTGACTACCATACCATTAGGAATATTGGCCTGTATAATCCGACCCCTACAGACAGGGTGGCACTTGCCCATTATCCCAGATGGGAGGTGGGGTATCCCAGCCAGTTGGTGAGCTCCAGGTTCAGTGAATGATCCTGTTGGAAAAAACAAGGAGGGAGGCCAGAGAGATGGCACTACAGCCCAGAATACTTGCTGTTCTTGGAGAGGACCGAGGACCTGGGTAAGGTTCTCAACACCCACGTGATGGTATAACTGCAGTTCTGGTGGATACAGTGTCCTCTTCCGGCCTCTGGGTAGGTGGCACACATGTGTGTGCGTATGAAGGCAAACACCCAGGCGCATAAAATATTTTTAAAATATAAGATGGAACCGGGCAGCACTCAGGAGGCAGAGATAGGCAGTTCTCTCAGTTCGAGGCCAGCCTGGTCTACAAGAGCTAGTTCCAGGACAGCCAGGGCTGGTACACAGGAAAACCCTGTCTCAAAAAAACAGAAAACAGAAAATAGAAAAGAAAGAAAATAAAAGTTGGAAAGCAATAGAGGCAAATGCCTGATGTCACCCTCTGACCTCAGACATGCAAGGTCACATACACATTCACACTCGGGCACACAGGCACATGCACACACACAATTCTTTGGTATATCTTACCATTTATTAAAGAAGAAAACAGATTTGAATACTAATAAAATGTATGTGCTTGTTTATTCTTATACAAAAAAATTAAATTTGCCTGGACATTCTTTACTGTAAAGCAAAGAACATTGGTATTCTTTTCAGAGTTTATTGGTATTGTGATCTATCAATACTTTACATAAATACATAGTACGGATGCCAAAAATATGTTTAGGGCCATTTCAGAAATTGTTAGAAATTCTCTCCTCATCCCAAGCCAAAATTCAATGAATGGTTTTTTTAAAGAATGATTTTTTTTAAATGAAGCTCAAGCCAACAACTCAGACAGGAATTTTGAAAATCAAATGTTCTAACACAATACAATGCATGTATTGTATATACTAATTTGATACTCACATGCTGGTGAATGTGGTAGGGGAAATGTTAAATGTTGTTTTGCACAGTTAAGCCCTGATTAAGCTATAGTTAAGCCACCATGGTTCTGTAAGAGCAGAAGACTGTATGTATAGTAAAAACATGGCAGATTATAACGTTCAGTAGCTTTGGATCTGAGCCAGGAAGCTTCCGGTAATTTCACTGGCACCATACAGCGTGTAGCGTGCACAGCGCAGTGTATCCAGAGCCTAGACGGCAGCGAAGTCACATGATGTGACACAAATTAGCCCTGCCAGAAACACCTTGGATCTTTGTGTTTTATTCTGAGTTGATTTTTTTTTTTAAATTGCTTTTACTGTATCAAATGTTTCGTGATGCCCACACTCAGCTCTGGGACCATGCCCTACAGCTGAAGAGCTGGTTGTAGATTTGCAGGTCTGTGTGTTTGCAGTCCGATACGGGAACTATTATTGTTCTGGATCCACAGTGTAGCCAAAGACCATGGGATGAAGAGGTGGTTTCCAGCCTGTGACGTCAGAAAGGAGGCGGAGGCTAGTATAAGGAGGTTAAGTCATTGGTGCCCTGAACACCATAATGGGTCTCTGGACCCTCCTCTTCCTCTGCTTCTTGGCCACCATGAAGTAGCCATGTGTCCCTGCCATGGATCGAAACCTCTGAAAACCGTGATCCAAAACACGTTTATTTTCCTCAGCTCTTTTGTCAGGCAGCTCAGCACACTAGCACAATTATAGCGTAGGTGATCCTTTACACAAATCATTTACATGTGTGTGTGAATATGGGCTATGTACATGCTTGGGCATGTACACAAGCGTGTGCACACACACCTAAGTGTGTGTATATTCCACAGTGCGTGTGTGGAGGTCAGAAAACAGTGTTTGCGGTCAGTTCGCTCCTTCCAGCATGGTTCTGGGGGATGGAAGGCAGACCAGCAGGCATGCGTGGCAAGTAAGTTTGCCTGCTAACCATCTTAGCAAGCCCACACGTCGTCCTCTTGACCAGAATAAGGACCGGAGCTGTCCACACTGTAGTGGCACGTGTACCCTTCCACACCTACTGTTCATAGAAGCAACTCAGACTCTTTTCTTTATGTTTAGTTCACTCCCCTGTCATCGTCATACTCCGCTGATAGAATTTTGAAAAGTAATTTGAAAAAATTTTAACTTTTTTATTACAATGTGTGTGTGGGGTGTGTGTGTGTGTGTGTGTGTGTGTGTGTGCATGCACACATCATGGCACATATGTGCAGCTCAGAGGACAACTTGCAGGAATCACTTTTCTCCCTTCACCAAGTGGGTCCCAGGAATCAGCTGAGGCCAGGCCTGGCAGCTAGTGCCGTAACTGCTGAGCCATCTCACAAGGCTCCAACCCAGATTCTTGCCGTGTACATTCTTACAAATATTGGGCACTTGGAAAAGATTTCTATGACTATGTGATTGTCATTTGTTCCCTAAAGGAAACAATTAACTAAAAGTAACCCATAAAATATGCCATAGCCTTCCTGAAAAGCCTAACATATCACATTGTAAGTACCTTATGGCACAACTCGGAATGTTGTTGGAGTGCCGAGATAAGAGCATGATGCACTCTGATGGATGCCAGCGTCCGTGGTGTAGAGCGTCTTTCCTGAGCGTAAACCACTCAGCGACAGAGAGTCTCTTTAAAGCTCTGTGTATTTAGCTAAAGTCTTAAATATAAATTAATTCACTGCGATCTTTTTCTTCCAGGGGTGATTATGTAAATGCTTTGGCTCATTACGAGAAAGGAATCACAGGAGAAAATAAGGTAACCTTTACCGAAATACAAAATACGCCTCGTGCTCCAGGAGTGTGTTTTCTGTTCATTTTCAAACCCAAGTCTCTCTTGCATTGTCGTTCTTCGGTGTCTAGCAGTGAGCTAAACTGTCCAGCTTACTAACGGCTTTACGAGAAGATGCTTAAGTTCCGTTAACCTCACAAAACTAAAGGGGGCGAAAGATTTTTATTTATTTTTATTTATAATGTTTGCCATTATACCCCAGATATGAGCTCCTAATGAAGATTGGAAGTAAGATTTTTCTTTCATCTCATTTATAGGCCAGTGTACTGAGTAAGAAAAATTGGTGAAAAAGCATGGCACATCCAAAGACCGTCTGTTAGATGCTCTTAGCTTAAAGGGGCGGTGTGCACTGACCGGGAAAGGCTGTGCAAGGCTGTGCAAGGCTGTGCAAGGCGCCACAGCTCTGCACACAACAGACCCAGGTTGATCTTTACCTGTTGATTCCTTTTTTTTTTTTTTTTTTTTTTGTTTGTTTGTTTGTTTTTTCGAGACAGGGTTTCTCTGTGGCTTTGGAGCCTGTCCTGGAACTAGCTCTGTAGAGATTCCTTTTTTTAAGTCCGTATTAGGGACATATGTGTCACAGGCCAACTATAATTCCATAAGACTTTTGCTCTTATGACATTTCAGTAATTACTGGGCTGGAGAGATGGCTCAGTGGTTAAGGCACCGGCTGCTTTTCCAGAGGACCCAGCATCAAGCCCCAGTACCCACATGGTGGCTTACAATTGTCCTTAACTCTAGGCACATGTGGTCCACAGACATACATGCTGGCAAAACACCCATACACATAAAATAATAAAATAAATTTTTGATTAAAAATTATATCTATTTACTTTCTGACTGTGGCCTGGGAGGAGGGGGCATATGCCACACCCTATAGATGGCTGTCAGATGACAGCTTATAGATATCTCTACCATAGCAGCTCCAGGGGAATGGAACTCAGGTCCTCAGGTTGGATGGCTACCTTTACCCACTGAGCCCTCTCACCAGCTACTATCAACATCTTTGTTTGGTTCATTCTTTATACTATCAAATACAGTAGCAAGTAGCTATATGGCGGTTTGGATTGTTAGAATGAAGTGAAATCCTACTCCCCTTTTCATGAGCCGCATTTCAGACGCCCGGTAGCCCCTGGTAACCATCAGCTCGTGTGCTAATGGGAAGACAGACGACAGTGCTGCCGTTACAGGAAGCTCAGTGGACACAGCGCTGTGGGCAGAACCCAGTCTGACACAGCATTTCTCTAGAAAAGATGAGTTATTCAAAAAGATCTTGCCAGGTATGGTGGCATATGCCTGTAATCCTAGGAGTTGGGAGGCTGAGACAGAAGGATTGCTTTGAGTTTGAGGCCAGCTTGAATTACTTAGCAAGCTGGGTTTTGTTTTGTTTTGCTTTGTTTTCCTGAGACAGGGTTTCTATGTGTGCTTGGTGCCTGTCCTAGAACTAGTTCTTATAGACCAGGCTGGCCTTGAACTCACAGAGATGCCTGCCTCTACCCCGAGTGCTGAACTCACAGAGATCTGCCTGCCTCTACCCCGAGTGCTGGGATTAAAGGTGTGTGCCACCACCACCTGGCTGATTTAGCGAGTGTTAAGGTTAGCCAGAACACTAAGAGACCCTGTTGCAAATATGGCAAGTTCAGTAGTAGTTGTTAATGACTTGAACAGTTGTAGATGATGTTCTGTGTAATCCTACCTAGTACAGAGATCTTCAGTTTTATTAATGACTTCCTCAATTTTATTTATTTGTAGCATTTATGCTGTAATAACCAGTATGTTACTTCTAGATAGGATTTTATATCAAGAAGCATAAAACAAGGCATCCTCACAAGGAATAGCAAAATTTCCTGCTAAGTATAAAAGGTCAAGACCTCTGAGAAGAAAAAAATAACTTTGTATTAATTGATTTTTTTAAGTGTTAATTTCAAAATTGTGAGTTTCTTAAAACAGTAGATGAAAGTAAATCTGAAAACGACAGAGGAGAGGAGCCTGACCTCTGTGCTGTGTTAGAGGCATTGCCTTGCTATTGCAGGAACACGATGAAGTGTGCCTGGCTGGAGTGGCTCAGATGTCCATAAGGATGGGAGACATCCGTCGTGGGGCTAACCAAGCCCTCAAACACCCCAGCAGGGTCCTTAAAAGAGACTGCGGAGCCATCCTGGAGAACATGAAGGTACTCCTTTGTCTTCATAAATATCCATGTGGCCAGGTCATAGCAGAGTTAGTGTCTTACGTTCCCTTTATTATTGTAGCAATTTTCAGAAGCCGCCCAGCTGTATGAAAAAGGCCAGTATTACGACAAAGCCGCCTCTGTCTACATTCGCTGTAAGAACTGGTAAGGGCTGGCCAGTTTGCTTCCAAATAGCTTTGGAACGGGGTGTGTCTGGGCTCTCCCCGTCTCTGCCGCTCTTCCTACTGCCCAGGCTGTTCTCTCACTTGGCTCTGCCTCCCGTCTCTGTTGTTATTACACAGATGAGTTCACATCCATAGCTGCTTCCCAAAGAGCACCCTAAATCAGATATAGTACTGAGAAAAGAAAATCCTTATTTCCCAAAAGAGTTAAGGCAATGCCTTCATCTTCCCTCCCTGTTGGTGAGGGAGGGGGATCAGGAGAAAAGGCCATTAAATCTGGTTTGTGTCTAGGAGTCAAGACATTTGTAAGCTCATAGCTGCCCCTGGAAAGGAGAGCGAGTTGTGGGCAGCTAATTCCACCTGGTCGGGAATGGTGCTGATCTTGTTCTCAACTCTACCTTCCTAGGGCAAAAGTTGGTGAACTCCTGCCTCATATCTCCTCTCCAAAGATCCACCTGCAATATGCCAAAGCCAAAGAGGCGGATGGAAAGTAGGTACAGTTCCCCACGTCTGTAAAACCTAAGCGAGCACAGGCTTGATAGGTTAGCCATGTGTGCAGACACATTAACACATTTAACACGGTCCTAGTTGGCTGAAGTACTGGACTGTAAACACTTCTGCCATGGCAGACCTGTATGTGTGAGATACAGTCTGCTGTCTCTTTTAACCAAGGCTCAGTACTGAAGTTCTGGCACAATATGGCATGAACGTGGTAAGAAAGATGCTCGGGATGCAGAAGGAGCAAAGAATAGACACGTGGATCCCATACTGTTTAAGCCACAGTGCAATCCTAAATATAGCTATGTACAAAAATGTCTACAACTTAATAGGCACAAGAAACTAAAAACCACTACTAGGAAAGGGGGCTAAAGAGAAAAAGGCAGGACTCCGAGGAGGAAATACAAAATGAGCTGCCTTCCTGTGAACACTGGAAGTTCCTCCCCGATGGTAGTGCAGGCATGCCACCATATTTGATGCTTATTTTTATTTTGAACTAACAGCAAGTATAAAAATGCCCTTGTTGTGTGTGGCTGATGGAAGTGTAAATTTCTTCAGTCTTTGGAAATTAACGTCAGAAGTGTCTGTTAAAAGGCCTTAACAGATAACCTCTCTTAAGGGGTTAGTAACACCTTCCACTTTTAGAAAAATAACCTTGGGAAGTAGATTGTAACACACACTTAAAAGTCATGCTGAAATTGGAAGAGCAGAGAGGTAGTCTGAACTGAGAAGTCCTGAGTGCCATCTAGAGGTGAGCACGCAAAGGTTTTGTATCTTGCTGTCAAAGCTTTCTATCATTGTGAAGCAGTCTGTAATTTCTGTTTTCTAAAAGGATTCCACACTGCTATAACAATCTTCCCACTGAAAATAAAAAACACAGCAGAATGTACACAAGTTGCATTCTGTTAATTCATAGGAAAAATTAAACTTATTATTGGTTCCTTACACCATTTATACAACCCCTAAAAAGGCTGTGTTTTAGTAGGAGAGTACCAGGTGTTTGATTCTGAAGGAGAAAGACGTTCAGGAGAACAGAGCAACTGCTGTCACCACAATAGGAAATAGAAACGTGGACCCGCATTTGCTGGCTCCCAGCATTTGAGAGCCTGCACCTGACCCGCATCGCGTCTCTCCCAGGTACAAAGAGGCCGTGCTGGCTTACGAGAATGCGAAGCAGTGGAACAGCGTCATCCGCATCTACCTGGACCACCTCAACAACCCCGAAAAGGCTGTCAGCATCGTCAGAGAGACCCAGTCTCTGGATGGAGCCAAGATGGTAGCCAGGTGATGGCACACTTGTATGTTTGGACCGCCAAAAACCAAGTGTAAAAGAAACACACACACACACACCATCAAGTGTATAAAGTCCTTTTCTGTTATTAGCTCTAGACACTGTAGTGCAGTGATCGTTGCAGTCAGCGTGTGTGAATGTGTCGAGCAGAGTATGATCCAGAATACAGCTATGGGATGAGTTTTTATTTTTACCTAGTGGAAAATATTTTGTTTTATGGGTCCTGGTATTTGTTAGTTCTCTCATTGCTGGGATAAACTACCTACAAAAGCAGCTTGGGGTTTTATTTTGGCTTACATTGATGAGAGAACTGTCGGTCACACAGGGAAAGAATGGTGGGTAGCAGGTTGCAGGAAGCTGGCACCACATTGGGACCAGATGGCATCGGGTCAGGAGCACAGACAGGTGGATGCTGGGCGCAGCTCCCCTTTTCCTTTTACTCAGTCTGGGGTCCTAGCCCATGGAATGATGCTGCCTCACACTTCAACCCACCTTAGAGACTGCCTCAGACATGCCCAAAAGTGTGCCTCCTGGATGATTCTAGATCCTGTCGAGTTGATGAATTTGACCACCACAGTCAAACTTGCCACGAGAGGCCAGCTAACTAATGTCCTTTGTCACAGGTTCTTTCTCCAGCTTGGCGACTATGGGTCTGCCATCCAGTTCCTGGTCCTGTCCAAATGTAACAATGAGGCCTTCACCCTGGCTCAGCAACACAACAAAATGGAAATCTACGCAGACATCATTGGTAAACGCCGTTGTTTCCCTGCGTTCTCATAAATATTTCATTATCATAGATAGCGACATTGACTCTTATAATCGAAAGCCTAGATGGATGTACATACAAGCACTCCTGTAGAGACCTAAGCCATGTATGCACATACATTACTTGCTGGGTTTCAGGCTCCCTGCAGCCTAAAGGTGAGGTAGAATTATAAGAGCAACCATCAGAAATGTGGGGTCAATTACAAGAGAGGCCACGTTTCCCAAACCCTGCTATTTATCAACCACAAGTGGTGAGCAAGACTTCATGAAGGCGATGGGAAACGCAGGATGATCTTAGACAATAAAACCGTTTTCAGGGGCTGGGGAGATGACGGCGATCATCAGGTTTCACGCAGGTATTTTACTCAGTGACTGTGTATTCTAGGTTCTGAGGACACAACTAATGAAGACTACCAAAGCATCGCTTTATATTTTGAAGGGGAAAAGAGACACTTTCAGGCTGGAAAATTCTTCTTGCTGTGTGGCCAGTATTCACGGGTTAGTATTTGCCAAGGAGACATCCCCGGACCCCACAAGAGGATCATATGTCTACCACCCAGCTCCCAAATAACACATGGAGACTTGTTCTTATTTATGATTGCCCAGCCTTAGCTTGACTTGTTTCTAGTCAGCTTTTCTTAAATTATCCTGTCTACCTTGTGCCTCTGGGCTTTTACCTTTCTCTGTTTCTATATATCTTTTCTTTCCTTCTTATTCTGTGGCTGGCTGTGTGGCTGACTGGCTGGCCCCTGGCATCCTCCTCTCCTCCTTTTCTCCCTCTCTTTATTTCTCTCTCTCCTTCTATGTATTCTCTCTGTCTGAGAGCCCCACGTATCCTTCTTCTGCCTTGCTATTGGCTGTTTAGCTTTTTATTAGATCAATCAGGTGTTTTAGGCAAGAAAAAGAACACAGCTTCATGGAGTTGAACAAATACAACATAAGAGAATATAAGACATCTTTGTATCATTAAACAAATATTCCACAGCATAATGAATGCAACACATCTTCAACGAATATTCCACAACAAACATGCTAAGCACAAACCTCCCAGTGAGCCCCCACCTCACCCTTCAGAGCCATCTTTGAAATCCCCCCTTCCACACATACATACACAGGCTCCCTAAACCCTCTCCCCGCCCCATTTATTCAAAGTACCATTAACCTGACCTGGAGCCAGGTTTCCCTGCTTCCAGTTACATAGTCCGCAGCCTAGTCTGCATAATGAGTTCCAGGCCGGCCAGTGCCACACAGTGAGACCCTGTCACCAAAGAATGAAGGCAGAGACCGGGAACTGTGCAGGCCCCTGGTTGAGATCAAGACACGCCTCCATTTAGTCTGTGTTAGAGTTGACTGCCCAGCGCACGTGCCTCATGAATTCTAACTGCTCCCACCTCTCCTTTCAGGCACTAAAGCACTTCCTGAAATGCCCAAGCTCAGAAGATAACATAGCAATAGAAATGGCGATTGAAACTGTAAGTAAACGCTGGACTGAAACTTTGAAGGATGCTAATAGTTTATTTGGTGTTGGTTTTAATTTCTGATGACCTTACCCGGAGCCAGGAATGTAGCTCAGTTGGTAGAGTGTACTCAGGAAGCCCGGGGTCAATCCCAAGCATCGCATGGTGGTTCATGCCTGTAATCCCAGAAGATGCAGATAGAAGACTCAGGATTATCCTCTGCTACATAGTGAGTTAGAGGCCAGCCTGGGCTACATGAGACCCCTGTTTTAAAGCCAAACAGAACCCGGTGGTGGTGGTGCATGCCTTTAATCTCAGCACTTGGGAGGCAGAGATAGGTGGATCTCTGAGTTTGAGGCCAGCCTGGTCTACAAAGTGAATTCCAGAATGGCCAAGGCTGTTTGAGAAACCCTGTCTCAAACAGAAACTTCCAAATATATGCAAAACTTCACCAAGCCGTACAACAAACTCCCGTAGCCATCATCTGAGTCGACAGCTGTCAGCACACGTCTTTATTCACACCCTAACCTCTTTCCAGATCTCTCCTTCACATCAGAATACACTGTCTGAATTAGCAAAAGAAGATCCTGTGGGTCGCCCTTTGGGTAAAACTTGCTCATAGCAAATGTTGCTACAGCGCTCCCTGTCCTGGAGGGTGCACAGGTGGCCTAGGCATCTCCCATAAACCCACGCCTGTGTAGCTCTCACACCAAGTGTTAGAGCTTGTCAGGAAGTCCCCGCATTCTGAAGCTGATGTGTTCCCAAACTGGAAACTCGCTGGGCATTATGCTGACGCTTGAAAAGTTTCTTTTCTCAGGGTCCAGGGAGGAGGTGGCTCCGTGGGTAAGAGCCCTTGCTGTGAAGGCCAAGGACCTGAGTTCAAATCCTCAGCACCCACATAAAGGCCAAGCATAGTCACATGCACCCGTAGTACCTGCACTGGAGGTGAGGGTAAGACAGGTAGATGCCAGGAGCTTGCCGGGCTGAAACGGCAGCTTTGGGCTCAGTGAGAGCCCCTGTCTCAAAACCGTAAAGTGAGACCAATAGAAGAAACCCGACGTCTTCCATTGGCCTCTGCCCACAGGATGCATATACACTACACACACACACACACCAAATTTTGAGTTCAGATTCTCAGATTAGGATGCTTAGCCTGCGTAAGACCCAGCACTTATGCTCAAAATATAGAGCTGTTTGAAAAGTGTGTTAGTCGCCAAACTTGAGAGAGGTTTTGGTGGCAGTATTGGTAATCCTGGGTTGGTTAAGATTTATTTTTATTTTACGTGTATGCATGTTTTGCCTGCATGTGTGTCTGTGCAGTGCCTGTAGAGCCAGGAGAGAGCATTTGATCCTCTGAGACTGGAGTTCCAGGTGCCTGTGAGCTGTCATGTGGGTGCTGGGAACAGAACCTGGCAGCCAGTGTTCTTAACCCTGAGCCATCCCTCCAGCCGCTGGTGTGTGTGTGTGTGTGTGTGTGTGTGTGTGTGTGTGTGTGTGTGTGATTTATTTATGTGTATATGGGGGAAGGAACCAATAGTCAGAAGATGTTGGATCCCCTGAAGCTAGAATTATAAGACAGTTATGAGCTATTTGATTTGGGTGCTGGGAATTCAACTATGGTCCTCTGGAAGAACAGCAAATGCTCTTAACTGCTGAGCCATCTCTCCAGCCCCTTAATGTTTTTATAAACCCCCAAGAAGTACATTCTCTGTATATAGTGGGAAAGCTCATACTTTGATCCAAGCAGCTAAGACAACCTACAGCTTCTAAGGATGGGATTTTACTGCAGAAGACTACAACCCACTGCTAAAGACTCCAGGCTAAATTGTATTTCAGGTCATTCACATGGATGACCTTAGGTGGTTTTATTCCATTTCCTTAGCAGAAAGTGGTTACCTCTTCTACCCAGCCCTCATATTCTATCTCTGCTAGGTTTAAGATGCAGAATTTATGAGGTTTCTCTCTTGTGAACCAGGTGGGCCAGGCCAAAGACGAACTGCTGACCAATCAACTGATAGACCATCTGATGGGGGAGAGCGACGGCATGCCGAAGGTACAGGAGGCTCTTCACTGCCGGGTGTTCACGCCCAGGCCTGGCCCCTGTCATGACTTTGCAGACCTGCAGGAGTGTCACCGTGTCACCCTGGAAGCAGCCATCCCCACACTCTAGAGGATGCCATGAATGTGCCCTTTAGAACTGACCAGGAACCTGTGCAATAGCCACACCCCCTGATGTAGCCATCACCCCGCCCACAGTTTTTTCTAAACCATCACAGTTTCGTTTATTCTAGGCACTGAGAAAGCAATCATTGAAACTGTTGACTTAACAATGGGCCCTAAAAATTAGAGTGTTTTACTCATATTTTAATTTTAGAAATAATCTAAACATAAGTATAAATCACTAGGTCAGCAGCTAAGAGCATATGTCAGAATCCATGGCTATAGACATCTGTCTGCGCTGTCCTGGTGAGGACAGATGTGATGCCTTAGGAAGTGCCCGGAGCCCTTTGTGTCCCTTTGCCTCTGTGTTCAGAGCCATCTGCTGTGGCACTCTGGCCACTAATGTGGGGAGACATTAGCCCCCTCCCAGTAGGCTATCACCCTTATCATATAGATAAAGCCACTGAGACCCAGGGGGACTCTGGTGACTTGCCAAAAGACACAGTCCCTTGTTTGCTGTCTCACACCCCTCCCATTATGTCTGCTAATTTTAATAACCTGGAAACCAGCCCCCGTTTGGACTTGGGTGGGAATGACTAAGTCTGGGAATTACAGAGAAGACTTGCATCAGTGTTAAGATGCCCTTCCCACCCAGGAGAGGCTGTGTTGGGCAGGATAGAATGTATCAGGTGCCGCTGCTCCATGCCCCTCCCCAAGCCCAGAAGAGGCTGTGTGGAGCAGGGTAGACTGCATCTGGTGACACTGTCCCAGGCCTCACCCTGTCCCTCTCCTTTCACCTTACTGTCCACAACATGAGGACACTGAAGGTTTAGCTGTTTCCTAACCACTTAGTTCAGCACACTAAGCTGAGCAAACTGGCTTTGAAAAACATGGCTCCTGTTACTGGGAGCAGAATGTGGACTGAAAGGCAGTTATAAATCTTTCTCCTCCAGGATGCTAAGTACCTATTCCGCTTGTACATGGCGCTGAAGCAATACCGTGAAGCCGCCCGGACGGCCATCATCATCGCCCGAGAAGAGCAGTCTGCAGGTGCGTACCGAATGGCTTCTGTGGTTCTGGGACCAAGCCAGGGCCTTGCCCGTGCAGGGACAGTGCTTTACTGCCAAGCTGCTTCTCCTGTACCAGGTCCTTTTTTTTTTCTACCCAAACAGGTAATGGGATAAAGCCCAGGAAAGAGTAGCTAACTTCTAGCCTAGGCTTGCTCTGACCCCCAAAGGACCAAATAGATTTTTCTCTTGGATTCAGAAAAGGAAAAATCATTTCCTGTCTGAAGGGATGTAGGTAGCTGTGCTGAGGCCTTCTCTTGCTGGGAAGTTTCTTCTCTTTGTAACCACATCCCGGGAGCTCAGGGGCTACTGAGAACTAGGCCACAGTTTTGCCCTTGAGGATCAGGCATTAGATCAGAAGGAAGAGAAAGAAATTGAATTCAGAATTGCTATTCAAGATGACAAGTGCTAGACTAGAAAGAGAAATATGATCAGAAAGGACCCAGGTCCCTAAGGATACAGGAAGGTTCTGCACTGGGGAGATGGAGGGTGGGGATGAGGATGATGGAAGGACCAGGACCCCTAAGGATACAGGAAGGGTCTGCACTGGGGAGGTGGAGGATGGGGTGAGGGTGATGGAAGGAGATTGGGGTGAAGGAGCAGAGAGAAAGAGATGAGGAGACCAGTGCTCTGGGCAAGACCAAGAAGGGCTGGGAAAGTGGCAGGCTAGATCCAACAGGGCTTTGAGCCGCTGCTAAGGAATTTTCATTTGATCTCACTGCATTTGGGGGTCTTGTTCGGTGGTACTGGGGATAGCACCTCACACATACTAGATATCATGCCAGTGAGCTGTGGGTTTTGCAACCTCAGGGTGTTGGGCTTGGGGGTGAAACTTGAGGTTTTAGAATCCCTGAAAGGAAGACTGATTGGTTCAGGGCCGCAGAATACTGTGGGGACTCTAACCATGGGCCTGAGGAGGAGGCTGAACTAGAAGGATTTGAACTCGGTGCACTGTGGGGGTGACCTCTAAGGCACCACCGTTTTCCCTAGAATGACTCATCAACAAAAGCAGAAAAGGCTGTCGCATTGCCATATGGTTGAAGGCTGTTAGGAGCATGACTAACGGCCCAGCTTGTGAGGTGAGGGTCTCAGGTCTTCTGCAGTAACACCTTCTCCTTTTCCAAGGGAACTACCGGAATGCACATGATGTTCTCTTCAGTATGTACGCAGAACTGAAGTCACAGAAGATCAAAATCCCCTCAGAGATGGCCACCAACCTCATGATCCTGCACAGTTACATACTCGTGAAGGTGAGGCTGGGCCGAGTGGTGTGGGATCTAAACGGGCAGGAGGCCTGCTCACCTAGTGGGGCTTCCTTCCGGTCCTCCAAGCTTTAGAACCATTCCCTGCATCTCTATATTCTCAAGTAGCAAAGCAGCACAGGCCAGCTCCAGTGTGGTGCCATTTTATACCAAAGAGCAAGAAGAAAGCAGGTACAATAGATCATAAAAGGAGAAGCCTGGAGACAGCGGTGGCTTCCTCCTGGGGAATCACGTGAGGCAGGGTTGAGAACACTAAAGCCCATTCAGGGGAGGAAAGATGGGTGCAGACTTTGCCGTGTGTGTTTCTCCAGGTTTGGTTTTTATTGTTTTCAACACAGGATCTCCCTACATAGGCTGGCCTATTTATTTCTAGTTGTGATGTGGAGCCTTTGTTTTTCTATTTTTTATGTATGTATAGATTGGGATTGAGCCCAGGGCCTCACACATAACAGACAAACACTGTACCTCTGAGTTGTATCCCATCCCAGTATACTGGGGTTTGTTTGCTTGTTCTGTTGTTGTTTTAAAAGAGTCATGATGTTATTCCCGGCTGGCTGGAACTTACCATGTAAAACAGACTGGTTCTGAATTGTGGCAATCTTCCTGCCTCTGCCTCCTGTCACCAGTGCCAGGAATATAGCATGCACCACCATGCCTGGCTTCTTTCTAAGATTTATTTTTATTATTTTTAATATGTGTGTATATGCACAGTGTAGTGCCCACAGAAACCACCAGCATCGGATCCCACTGGAGCAGGAGTCATGATCCACCCCACTGGTACTGGGAACTAAGTCAAGTCACTGAGCCCTCACTCCACGCCCTCCATATGTATATTATACACTTAGGTCTTTGTAAAGATGCAAACAGGCTTCAATTAACAAATTTTCCCAAAATGTCAGTGCTACCCGAGTCTCTAAGTCAGTTGTCTGTCCAGTACAGCGAGCTCATTCAACCTTGATGGACCCTCACAAAGTTAAAAGGATTTGAATCCTAACTACCAGCTAGTTAAACGCAGCTCCACAGAACTTTCTAGTGGCGGGACTGTTAGTGTTTGTGCTGACCGGTATGGTGGCCTCGTCTGGCTGCGGAGCACTTGGCAGGGAGCAGGCACAGCAGGCAGAGTGAACTTTTAACTTTACATAGTTAGACTTGAGTAACCACGGTAGACTCACAGGCCTGAAACACTTATTATAAAGAGTAGGCATTTAGACCCCAACATTCAGCCCTGGGAGTGTACCTCCCTTCAGGGCATCCAGGGGACCAAAGGCTTGGGAATCTCAGCTCAGTTGTCTGGGCCACAGGCAATGAATTGTTTGGGGAAAGAAAGCGCGGATTGGAGCTAATATAAGGCTGCAAGAATGAATGACATCATTTATTTCAGATTCATGTTAGGAGCGGAGATCATATGAAGGGGGCACGCATGCTCATTCGAGTGGCCAACAACATCAGCAAGTTCCCGTCCCGTAAGTCCTGTCTTAAGGGCGCTCAGCGCTGAGGCGTGCACTCCCCACAACCGGTGCTGTCATTTACCTCCACAGCAACCCAGAAAGTGGCAGGCTGGGGTCCCAGAAACTCTGCAAGGCTCAGCCCACAGTAGTGCAGACACTAAGGTCTATTATACCAAAGGGAAAAGGGCGGCGGAGAGCAAGATGACGGGGGGGGGGGGGGGGGGGGAAGCCCAATGGAAACCAAGTGCGGACAGACGCTTTTGAAAGTCCTCTGTGCATGACACGGAACCCAAGTCATAGCATTGCGAGGTCTGCAGCGTGTGTGCCAGGAGCACATCAGATTCCACCCAGGGTTTTCACTAGCAGTTTGTCGCACAGGACCGTCCTGCCTGGCAGGTCAAAGGGAAGTAACATGTGCCCAAGATCACAGTGTCTAACACTGTCTCTGCTACTTTCAAGCCTGGCTTCCGGGAAAGGTCCCTTTTTCTCCCAGACCTGTTTTTAGAACATTCTTAAATGAACAGCCTTCTTCACAGTGTGACAGCTGTCAGCAAACTTGTAGAGAGCCAGATGTTACACATCTTAAGCCACTTGGTCTGTCACTCGTCAGTCACCCCATGGTGTGACTGGGGCTGAGCTCTGATGGAGCTTTAACTCCTGGACACAGAAATCTGACGCTCATGTGGCTTTAACACGTCACACAAAATATTACTGTTATTTCTTTCAACTAGTTCCTGGGCCGTACAAAAGTCAGAGGCCAGACTCGCCACCCTGGCCTCTCTGGGTTTATTTTTGAGCTGTGGCTCGTGTGGCCCAGACAAAGAGTGCACTCAGCTGTCTCCTTTCTGCTCCCTGCGTGTCCTGCAGATATCGTGCCTATCCTGACATCGACTGTGATTGAGTGTCACAGGGCGGGCCTGAAGAACTCTGCTTTTAGCTTTGCGGCTATGCTGATGAGGCCCGAATACCGCAACAAAATTGATGCCAAGTACAAAAAGAAAATTGAAGCGATGGTCAGGTGGGCAGAGCACCCATTTCTACTTTCCAAACACATCTTTAGGGTACTTTTCAGATGGAACTTCTAATATACATAGGCTCCGTAGATAAAGTGGGTAGGGGCAGAGGTCATAGCTGACATTTACTGTCAACCTGACTGAATTTAGCGTCACCTAAGAGACACACCTTTGGGTATGTGTACAGGGTGCATTACCCGCCCCTAATGCAGGCTGGAACCCAAGCCGGATAAAAGGAAGAGTGGGTGAGCTGAGCATCTCCCTCTCTGCGCTCCAGCCGCCGCCCACTCCTACATGACAGGCCCTGTGAACTAGGAGCCCAAGTAACTGCTGCCTCCCCTCAGGTGACTCCTGCTAGGCATTTCTGTCAGTAGAGGGGTAACTAATAATAGGGGATAGAAGCAACAGGAACCCCACTGATGTCTGAAGCCAGAACTTATGGGAACCATACACAAGGCATCGTCGACCAGGGATGGTGCCCCTGTGTACTGATGCCATTTTCCCAGGGCCGTCCAGAGCATACGGGGCACCTCTTCCCTCAAAGCTGTGAGACAGCTGCCACATCTCCATTCAAGGCAGGAAGAAGAGAGAATTAAGGAGCACATGGGTCTTTAGCCACAGAAAGCCGCCCTATGAAGCATTCTGTCAAGTGTGAGCAGTGCTGGTTTGGCAAGAGGAAAATGGCTCTTAGACAGCACTGTCTGCCGTAGAGAGATGAACAAAAGCATAGATGTTCTCAGCATGGAAACTCCACATTGGCACAGAGCACTGCCAGCAGAGCCTCCAGATGGAAGCACTGTGATGAAGGCAGGCCTGGCTTCCTAGAAGACTCTCCTGTGCCTGTTCCACAGACCCTGCACGGCTGTGTGGAACACATGGCAGAAGGTCTCTCCTCGTGGCAGTCAGTAAGCAGAGAGAGAGACAGACGAGAGGCCAGGCCATGACATTCTACAAAGAAATGCTCCCTACCCTTGCCCCACAACTGACTTCCTCTTTCCGCAGTTCCAAATCCCCAGTCATTCAGAGCCTACATGATCAACACTTCCCAAAGGGCCTCTCTGAACACGGCTGGCAGAGGGCACACCTTCAGTACACAGCCCAGTGTAGGGACATTGTCTCCTAGACAGAAGTAGAACACTGGGAATCTACAAAAGGAGAAATCAGTTGTATCTCTGTACTACTTAATCAGAGTAGTGAGAATATAACTGGGCCCCTTGACGCAGCCAGGCAAGTAATGGCAAGCAGGCTTGAGTGCTGTCCTAGTGAGGGTTACTATTGCTATGATCAAACACCGTGACCAAAAAGCAAGGGAGAGAGGGCTTGTTGGGCTTATACTTCCGTAAATGATCAATATAGTCAGGAACTGAAACAGGGCAGGAACCTAGAGGCACACTGCTTACTGGCTTGCTCCGCCTGCTTCCTTACAGGACTCAGGACCACCAGCCCAGAGGTGGCCCCACCCATCAGTCACTAATTAAGAAAATACCGTACATGTTTGTCTACAGCCCGATCTTACGAAAGCATTTTCTCAATTGGGGCTCGCTCCTCTCCAGTGACTCTAGATTGTGTCAAGTTGACTGACATAAACCTGCCAGCACAAATGCTGGAAATGCCCCCTGGCAGAGCTTTGAGGCTGGTCAACCTAGGGAACCTTACAGTGTATAGGGTAACATGACCGCAAGATGGACGGATGGCTCAGTGCCAACCCTGGAGAGACTTGTTCTCTTCCCCACACAACAGGAGCGGCCTGTAGCTATGTGCTCCAAAACGGCAGCTGCTAGTCACCAGTGGCGTAACTTTTAAAGCAGAATAAGCTTTAAGACCTAGTCCTTTGAACTACAAAGTTAGGACAGCCCACCGGCCTGGAAATGTCTGTTAAAACAGCTGGGTGGTCTTTTCTTGAGTTACACAGAAGGGAGACACAGGGGAAATCCCACAGTGGCCACTGCTGTACCACAGTGAGGAGACAGTGCCACCAGTGCAGTGCTCATGAATGCCAGCTGGACCTGGCCAGTCCAAGTGTGCTCCATCCTCCCAGGAGCTGGGAAGTCTGAGCCCGCAAATAAGTTCTTTCCAGATAATGCCTTTCTCTGCTCACCGCGATGCAGGGAATCAAGTGGTGTTTGTAAATGACACGTGATGCTTTCTCCAGGAGACCGGACACATCCGAGACAGAAGAGGTCACCACCCCATGTCCCTTCTGTCAGTTTCTTCTCCCAGAATGTGAGCTGCTTTGTCCCGGCTGCAAAAACAACATCCCGTACTGCATTGCAACAGTGAGTGTCTTTGTAATCATAATGCCCCTTCCAGTTGAATATTTGATATGCCAGTGTTTCTTCACCTTTGACTCATCTTCCAGAAAACGTTTAGCATGAAATTCCAGGCAGCCGAGGTGAGGTTTGGAGCGCACAGGAATCCAGGAGTTAGGCAGCCGCACACTCAGCAGGCTGAGGTGTGCTCACATGCTTTTTCTGCCACCTAGTGGCTTCGCGACACAGTGCAGTCTGCTCCTTGTAGGCTTGCCTGTGCTTTGTCCTCAGGTCAGCTGCATTGGTGCGAGCACCCCCCCCCCCCAAAGACCTACTCATCAGAAAACTAAAATGTCAAATTTGTTCATCCTATGACTACCATAAGCTATAATATGAAAGATACATTCACATACTGGAATAAAAGGCGGTCTAGTCCCTCTGTAAGAACGAGTCTAAAAGTGGAGCCTGGCTGCATCCTTCTAGACAGATGAAGTAGCAATAGTGTCCCAAGTCAGAGAAACTCTTACCGTTTCCAGGGCCGGCACATGCTGAAAGACGACTGGACGATGTGCCCACACTGCGGCTTCCCTGCGCTGTACTCTGAATTCAAGATGTAAGTGTGCATCCTTTCCCGTCACATAAATGAGTAGAAACAGGCCTTTTCTGGATTCGTCCACTCCTTCCCTTTGAGGGCTCCTGTTTTCTTGGAAGAACCTTGTGACCTCTGAGAGCATTCTTCCCCAGGGGATCTTCCCTGACACAAGTCCTTCTCCTGCCTCAGTGGGCGGAGGCATTAACCCGAAGATAGACAAATAACTCTGCATTATCTCCCCAAACAGCTTACTAAACAGTGAAAGCACATGTCCCATGTGTTCAGAAAGATTAAACTCTAGTCAACTGAAAAAGATTTCAGACTGCACGCAGTACCTACGGACAGAGACGGAACAGTGAGCCACAGGCCCAGGTAAGGCCTCTCCTCCTGGGCCGCAAAGCCCAGGGTCCGCAGCTTAATCCTTCGTGCTGGCAATGACTCCTTCTGTGCAATGTGTAATTCTCAACTGTCTTAACAGACTTATTTATTTAAATGTTAAAGTGATAGTAATATGGCTTCTCAAGTGGCTAAAGTTATTTAGCCAAGTATCATGAATTCTAACTAGACTGATTTACCAAACTGAGCTTCTTTTTAATAGCCCCTTAAAGCTAGAGCCAGCTTTCTTTAAATGGGAGCTTTTCAGTCAACTATTTGCAGTACAAAGTTTGACTTCCAGAGATGTTGAAATCCCAGGGTTTTTTTTTTTTCCTAAGTCTCGCTTTGGCCACACAAACTTGCAGATAGTCCTTCTACCTCATTCTGGTGACAGGGTTTTTGTTCACATGGGATTAAAGGCTTGCAACACCATCCCTCACTTTATTATGATTTCTTTTAAGAAATATCTCTAATTAGTTTCTTAGTTTTCTGAATGTTAAATTTTGTCAATGAATCATGTGATGACAAAGGTTTCTCCCTTTATTCCATTTAGTGGGTTATATTGATAAAATCAACTTTTATTCAGGGGATAAACTCATATCACAACATGGTTTCTAGCCATCCCTTGGCACAAGGACTTTACCCTCAAGTGCAGATACAGGGCCCTGAATCTAACCCAGCAGAATCTTTGAAAAGATGACATCCTCCAGCTGTGCTGCTGCTGGTTGCTTATACCTTTGGGCAGTTACTACATTTTGTCTCAAATCTACACCTGCATCTGTATGCTCTACCACTTGTAAAAGTGAAGCCTTGTTAATAAAGCTCCAGGCTCTCTCCCGATACTGTCATTGCATCAAGGTATTTGGTAGATTACAGAAGCCTGAACTGTGCTGTCAGAGCTACTTGAAGCTATGTCTTCAGTGAGTAGGATGACGCACTGCTGTGGCGTCTCCTCATACAGTAAGAACTGCAGCTATTGCTCCCCGGCTTCCTTCAGAAAAGGAACCTTTGTCCAATTTCAGAAGAAAACATGCGCTCTACAGCCTGCCATGTTCACATCCCTGGCAGTAAGGCAGCTTTATTACTGTTCCTCCTGCTTAACAGCAGTGTCTCCACAGTGTGCCGTGCAGCTCAGTACTGTAGGTCCATAGAACTGGACGTCTGCAGGACTCATGCTCCAGAAATGAGCAGGACAGCACTGAGACCTCCCTAAGGCATCTATTTGTCCCTTTCTTAGACAGCTCCTGAGTAGACAGACGGCAGCTCCCTCAGGAGGCAGTGTCCACCCCGGCAGACTTGAAGAGTGGTCCTTCCTGGATACAGTGACATACAGTGACACGACCTGCTGCTTGCTGAACTCTGTGTGTGTCCTCTTCAAAGTCCCACATGGTGTGTGCTCTGTACCGTTAGTAGTATATTGTAAATATCCAGTTTTCTAATGACTTTTTTATTTAAGTATCTTCTTTAAAATTAAACTGTTGACTAGATATTTGTAATATTTTTCTGGATTTGGATATAGAGAAAGTGATGGAGGAGGTGGCTTGGAGCCCTTATAAAGTCTGTCCCTTAAACCAAAACACCAAAGACAATTCATCTGTACAAAATGCATGAACTAGTATCTGTCTGTCCATTCCGGTGCACGCTATGGATTCCTACTGCAAAATTAAATCATCTGGTTTCCCCTGGAAACATTTTGTTCCCAGAGCACACGGCATACTCACTTGTAGGAAGTCTGTGCTTACCCACACCTTCAGCATGACCTGTGCGGAGCCAGTGTCACCAGTCTCAACAGCCAGCAACTGAGCATCATCAATAGCTTCTCTGGCATCAGAGCATCCCACCTTCACACCTCCAGCTTTATCTGTCTTCTTGGGGCTCACCAGAGGCTGTGACCTCATTAAGCAGCACAACATAATGAGACAGTCACCAGTACCAAGCTTCTTGCTACTTCCCATACCACTGAGGTCACCTGGCATCTGTGTATTCTGGGATTTACAGGCCTCAGCTTTCCCTTGTGAGAACACTCATCCTAGAACTTCAGGGAGATACCCATCCTAGTGTGGACAAGTCATTCTAACTCTAAGAAGTCAACAGATAATGCTATTGCAGTTCTGCCGAAATCTCTCAAAGGAACTAGGGGGACTTGTCTGAGACACAGCATCAATGGCTATGACTTGGTACTCTACACAGAATGTGCAGAGAACCTAGGCAGCGTGGGGCACCACAGGCCACTTCAGGAGCTGCAAGGAGATTCGATCCCAACACAGACATTTAGGTCCGCACAAATGCCAAGGCATTAACACCTACCTTCTTTAATCTGCATCCTTTACGGCATGCTTAGGAGGGCTTCAAAGAGGAATCCAATAGACCACCATTGCTTATCCTGTTGCTATCGTCCTGTATTAAACATCATATAGTCTCTAACTCTAAAAAAATTTATTTTTATAGCTTGTTCACAACATTCATAATTTAAATTATAACTATATTAAATAAGCAAAGACCATTTTTGTTCTGAAAGCAAGCAGAATGCTGGGCCTTTCCTGGAATGTATATTCAACTGAGGGAGGCATCCATCCCCTACCATAGCAGCCAAGTTTCAACAGAGAAGAGAGGGCAGGACGCAGAGACTCAGGCTTAAGCGCAGTGTTTATTTCCATACTGAACCGATCTCCGGGAAGCATACCTTTCACCCTGGTTAATATACCTGCAATGTCTCCAGGACTTGTCTCCTCTCCCAACAAGGCCATGAGTCCTCAAAGGCAGAGCATGGTCCTCATATTTTCTGGCATACACCTCACAGAGGCAGCACAGACCTCTGAACACTTACTGATTTAAAAAGCTAAACACCCAAAGGCCAGGTTACGTCCATGGCCCTAGGGTCCTTCAACAAGCACAGTTCTAGATCTAGCCTGAAATTCCAGTAGGGATACGAGCTCCTCACAGGACAGCATCTCCCAGTCAGAATGAACCTGTGAAGCTGACCCATCCTCAACTACTGGTCTCACCCTGAAGGTTGACTGCAGGAGGACAGGAATGTGTGGCAGTCCAGTGTCTGCATACCCGAGAGGCCTCTCAGCAACTACCTACAGCAGCAACACGGTTAGTGCAGAGGGATGCTGTGATTTGATTCACAGGGTTATGCCAAATATTTTAATCTAATCAAATTAATACGGAAGTAATATACTACCGTAATATTTTTCTGTACAAGATGACAATCTTAAGAATATCCATGCAGTCCATGGACAATCGATTCCTGACGCCTACTTTGCCAGCTTGACAATAAACCAAGAATACTCAGCTCCAGGTGGTGGCTGATTTGTATTAAGGTTTATTTACACAATTTCACCATAAAATAAGAACTATCGAGTTTTTAAAGAAATCAGCCCTGGTCCTTTAACAGCCATGAGGACAAACTGTTAGGCTACAAAAGATGCCTCAGTTCCTCTGCGCCCAGACTTAACTAAAATCTGACTCCAAAGCCTGTGTGCTCCTAGTTTTGGTTCCACACAGTCACTCTGAATCCCAGCACTCTACCTGGGTTGCCAGGGATGGTGCAGGCCGAAGCGTCCTGTCCCCCTCTATAAGAGGAGCATGAGAGCTGGCTAGCTAGCTGTACCATCCTCTATGATGGGACCACCAGGCCACCCCACTGTGCTACTCTGGTAAAGGGCACAGCTTTCCAGCGGGAGTTGAGGGTAAGTGAAACACAGCTATTGGTACTGAACAATGGTTTCATTTCTTCCAACTTCTTCCTTTTCCTTTTTTGGACTCCTTATCTTTGTCTGGTTTTGAAGACTTTGAAGATCCTGTCTTTTTCTGTTGGAGGAGAGACACACAAAACAGTTAATATGTTGATGAGTATATAAAATGACAGCAAAGTCTTTATCTACAACTTAATTAGAAAAGCAAGGTCACAGATATCTACTGCTGTCCGAGAAGCAACAAGCCAGCTCCTTACAGAGAAAACATCTAGACCTACTCAGATCTAGAAATAAGGTGTGCCCCGTGTAAGGCAGTTTTAGGAAGCCAGAATACTCAAGAGGTGGCTTACAGATATGGCAATGTCTACATGACAAGCTTCCCTTTTAATCTCACAGAAGATCTAAGCACACTCATTTTTGTGAAGCGGGGAACCAATCCAAACAAAGGACCTCTATTCCTAGACGTGTGACGCGGGAGAAGAGCGAGCCGCGCACAGGTGAAAGGAGAGAAGGCTGCAGCCCGGAGGCTTGGCAGCTGAGAACAGTAGGCTGACTCCATGCCTCATTCAGATCTTTACTAGCAAAAGACAAAGTGTCAACTTCTGCTCTGAGAGACCATACAAGCAATTCAATGGCTGTAGGCAACACGAATAACCAAAGTGAACAATAGTTTAAAACATTTTTCTGTTCGTGCTATAAAAATGCACTGTGGTATGAAAGCACATACCAAAATCCAAGTAAGTATTAACAGCACCCTTCTGGGGCAGGTGAGATGACTACTCGGTGGGAGATACTTGCTGCACAAGCTTGAAGACCTAAGCTCAGATCAACACACACATAAAAGCAAGGTATAGCAGGTAACACACTTCTCTAAGCTCAGTGCTAGGGAGAGGGGAAACACACACACGTAGATCCTAGGACTCACTGGCTAAGCATCTAGCCAGAGCAGCAAGCTCCAGGTTCAGTGAAAGACCCTGTCTCAAAAACGAAGGAAGACAGAAGAAGACACTTGGAAAACCATACACATGCATACATGTATTTTGCAGTACACATACATGACCATCACTACGATTGCCTACTTTCTTGCTATTTGGCTCCTACACTACTATAAGAAGTTCACGTTATAAATGAAACTGCCAGGCATGGTAGCACACACACTTGGGAAGCTGTGGGTGGCAGAAGCAAGGCAGGTGGATCTGAATTCAGGGCCAGCCTGGTCTACAGAGCGAGTTCTAGGAGAGTCAGGGCTACACAGAGAAACCCTGTCTCGGGGAGAGGGAGAGGGAGGGAGAGGGAGAGAGAGGGAGAGAGAGGGAGAGGGAGAGAGAGGGAGAGAGAGAGATTTAGAAAATGATAAGTGTGTGTGTGTATGTATTTGTGTGTATGTGTGTAAATGAAACCTATCCCATCATCTTCAGTTACAATGAGCAAGACATACTTGCACTTTCAGCTTACCCTGCTACATGCGGAACCGGCCTTATTATCCCCATATCACACAGGAGCAAAGGTCATCTTTGAGGTGCTCCTGCCATAGCTGAACACACTACCTTGATCATGGCATCAGTCTCTATGGCATCCTGCTCCTTCTCATCAGACTGACTGTCATCTTCCTGTGACTCTTCATGGTACTCAGAATCCAGTGCCGGGCCTGTGCTGAGTCTCGATGTCTTTACTGCCTGAAGCGAGTACGGGGTCAGGTGGACCTCCTTATTATAAGCTCTTGTGAAGGCTGCTTTCACCTAAAGAACAGAGGAAAGCGGTTACCGTGAGTGCTGGACAATGCGTTAACATCAGTTAGGCTGAAGCTTTGAGAAGCCCAGGAAATCCCTTTAAACTATTTGCAAAATAGTTACATACATAATAGAACCGGAAGTGCATTCATTCTCCTCTAGAGCTGTGTGCTACTAGAGATCTGGGTAAGCCTTGTGCACACTCGGCGACCACCATCACTCAGCTATGTCCCCAGCGCATAGCATTTTTTATATTATTTATTTATCTGAGAATTTTGAACCCACAGCTCAAAAAAATAAGAATAAGTAGTTAAGACGGGTATAGTAGCACACATCTTTAATTCCAGCACTCTGGAGACAGAGTCAGGAAGATCTCTGAGTTTGAAGTCAGCCTGGTCTTCAGAGCAAGTTCCTAGACAAGGGCTATACAGAGAAACCATGCCTCAAAAAAAAAAAAAAAAAAAAAAAAGAATCAGTGGTTAATCTGTGATCGATACCTAAGTCAAAAAGAGCTCACTATAAGATTCAAGTTGGTCTTGACTAAAACCATGGAAACCGGCACACATGGCAGTAGCACATGCTTGTGAGGAGACAAAGGAAAGGGCTGCCTAGACTAGTGAAGTCAGTCTGGGCAAATTAATGAGACCACGTCTCAAAAAGTTCAAAAGGAGCTGGAGAGACCTCAGCAGTAAGAGTACATGTGTGGTACACAGAACATTCTAGGTTCAATCTCTAGTTCTGGGAAAAGAAAATCAGTCTGGGGAAGGGAAGAGAAGGGAAGGAGGGGAGGGAAAAGAAGAAACAAAAGAAAGAGAAGGGAAGAGAAAAGTTAAGAGAAAAACTTGATAAAAAATCCTCAGGCTGTAAAACACTACATCACCACCTCAAGTTTGCCCCCAAGCTCACCCCCGCCCATCGTCAAGAACATATTGTTTTTGCACCTTACCCCTGTTCTCTTATTATTCCCCTTGAGGTCAAGATAAAAACACAAACTGTAGCATCGAATCCTGTAATTTATCAAATCCTCTGACCACTATCCTAAAACACTGTCTCTGG